GCGACGAGATACAGGAGGACCTACAAGTGGGGTGCTCAAACCACCCATGTGGTCGGTTGACGGGTGCTCTGGTGTGGTTTGCTTCTTCTTTCCTATCAAACGTCTATCGTCTTTATCCCCCCCCCATCCTCTTTTTTGTGTTTGTTACTCTCTTGTAACACCTCTTATCTTCGGCACGTAAATGACCTTATTGTGTTGCAAACGCCGTACGTAAAACACTTACTAAAACTATTTTTAAAAACAACCGCCTAGAAGAGGACGAAAATGCCTTTTAGTGAACCTGCTCTAACGGCCACCTGTACGAGGCAATCACCATTACAAACGAACGCTCTCCGTTTCCTCCCTCGCAATATTTTTGTTTCATTTTTAAAAAAAAAATTAAACATATCATGTACCCCTAGTGGGACTCATACTTCCACACCAAACCCAACTCAACACAATATAAATTATTATAAAAGTATTCAGAAAATGTTCTGTAACACAGAGAGAAGAAGTTACGAATGCTCCAAGCAGGACAGTTATTTTTTGCTAGATGATTTTAATATATTACAAATTGGGCGCAAAAAAATTGCATAACCGTCAGACATTGCTATTATTTCAAAATATTGATCTGATGGCAGCGTAAATTGTCTGCTGCATTCCATCGGAACAATGATGGGAGTATCAATTCACATCATATCTCACTTTGCTATGCATTTGTGGTGGGCTTTTATTTTACAACAATCCTATCTTTGGCAACACTATGATCCGATTTCCCCCTAAATTTTGATCTGACCAAAAAAAAAAAGGATTTTGAGCATGTTTGGAACAATTTACACAAGAATCTATCGGTACAGCACTGAATCCTTTTTTTCATTTTCCACAAAGTGAGAATAAGTCGGCACTCTTCGGGAGAAGTGGTCTCGGCGTAACTCCATTAAAATATATACGCAATCGGAACCAAAAATGAAAGTCGAACAAAAAGCTGGCGGAGATGCTAGGTTGAAAAGGCCACCGATAAATTTATAGGAAAAGTCCAAACCCATTTTAGTCTATTTTTCAGCACTATTTTACCGTTTTTGTGTGTTCTGAGAACAATTTTGGAACTAAAAACGTTTTGGCCTAGCAGCTTAGGCCTAGACCTATGGCACATCACTATAGTAGTAGCTCACGTAAAGCGTCTCTCCGCAACATCTCTCTCTGCCGCCTGCCCCATCTCACTCATCACTGGGTGTGGACCATTATTTTTGTGAATATCGAAAAAATGGAACACTAATGAAAAAAAAAGTCCTGAAAAATCAATAAATACTCAGCCAGCTTTTTTACTCGACTTCCGTTTTTCTTTCTAATTAAGTACATATGTATAAATTTCTAAGGAGTTAGGGAGGGATCATTTCTCTCGAAGAGTGTCAATAAGTCAAAGTGGGTGATTGTTAGGGAAAGACGAATGGGAGTGTCTACGTACACGGTAACAGGCAAGGTTGGGTTGATTTAAATCCGTGGATTTTTTTTTAAATCCGTGATTTTAATCACTTAAAAAAAAAAAATTTTATTAAGTTTTTACATATTTAAACATTCAGAATTCCAGTCCTTGGTTTTATAAAACAGATATAAGGTTTAGTAGACTAATATAATCATGCTTAGAGGTCTGCTTCTACCCCTGTCACTGTAAAATAATACAGTATTCAATATACTTTTTTTTCATAATTGAAATCAGAGTTGGGTTGATTTAAATCAGGCCGATGTAAATCAGTTTATTTTTTATATTTCAATCAACTTGATTTTAAAAATAAAAATCAGTGATTTAAATCACTTTTTAAAAAATGTATTCACTTTTTACATATTTAAACTTTCGGAATTCCTTTCCTTGGTATTATAAAACAGATATAAGGTTTAGTAGACTAATATAATCATGCTTAAAGTCTGCATAGACTTGGAATTACTTTGCATCAATCCTTTTGCGAAACTCTGTAAGCATGTGACCCCCCAAGCGGGGAGCACTGGGTACAATGCAGTATAGAGCAGACTCGCTCGCCTCGCGGGCCGGTGCAGCGCCGCCTGGGTCAACGCTCTGTGATTTGTCGAAATAAGGACAGATCATCCTGTTTGAGGCAATACCGATTTGTAATGATCTCAGTCTTGAAAAAAATTAGGCTCCATATGTTATAGTGATTGTACTCTGTTAATGTGAAGATGTTTGGTGGACTTGGTACTTTTATTGTCTGTCAAACATGGGATTGCAGCCAGTAAGCAATAAGGAATATTTTATCAAATTAAAAACTGCTACCATTTTCTTAAAAATTACGAGGTGGCTATTCGGACTCGAGTCTGTAGAAGGATTACGTGCTTGTCTAACACTTTCAGAATAATAATATACGTAATGTTTTGTCCTGTTTTTATTTGAACATCATGTCATGTAAAGTATGTTGTTGGAAAAGCTATAACTTTAGACTTTTACTTTGAACGACTGGTTTTTGTGCCCTTTAGAAGGGGTTTGACTTTTCTCTTCTTAATTTCTAACTGGACTTCCCATGATCAATGACTGTCTTTCTCGTCAAATAAAGCGGGTTTAGACTACCTATTGATAGTTATAATCCTTTGTTGTTCTGAAACTTTGATTTCCAATTTTTTGTCACTGCTTTGCTCTCAGATTGTCGTTTCCCTGTTTGCCTAGTGTAGCATTTCAGATTTTGCAACTGATATTCACTTTTGACGTCACTAATACTTTTCACTATTTGTGTCGAAAAAATTGGCCAGATTGTAGAAACCAAGAAAGGCGAAGGTCGAATTGCCTGTCCGCTTCATTATTGGAATACGTACCCGGTGATTGCGCACGCAAATTGGAGTTTGAGTCCGAATAGCCACAGGAGGCTATTCAGCCTCGAGTCCGAATAGCCGCAGCCTAAAAATTAACTGAAAGGTAAAAGAATGGTACCAAAATTCTCAGGAGACATATAGGCCCTTCATATGGAACAGATAAATTTGGCATAGGCCTACACAGCTACTTTGAAAATTTAGTTTCTGGTATTTATTATAGAGTATACTGTACGAGGAATGTTTAAGAAGTAAAAAATAGGCTTACAAATACCTAACTTTGAAGGTCAACTTTAACCTTGACCATGGGGTCAGATGGATTAGTCGTGCATCTAGATCTACACAAGGTGTTAAATGACTCTATGAACTTGGAATAGAGAGGAAAAAAACAACTGAAATGGCCATTGTCACACTTGTAACGAGACCTCACACAATGCACACATCGGAGAATGTCGAAGTTCGCACAGTGCACACACAACACGGCGAGTCGCACAACACGATACTACTGTGTAGAACGAGGGTGGACCTTCGGGTTACCATGTACGTAGACTCTGAGACTACGTGCCCGGTTATCGTGTCGTTTCACACGGGTCTCAATAGATCTAGAATCTAGAGTCTAGATCTAGATCTAGTAATTATTCAGGTTTAAAATACACACATGCAAGTCAGTAAGGCACCTTTTTGATACCTCTCGGTCGCCGCGCATCAAACAAATTTTTATGGCTCTCATGAACTACCGCTCCACTCCTTTACAGCAAGGACAGAGCCCAGCAGAACTTCTAATGGGTAGGAAAATCAGGACAAGAGTGCCCATTTTCCCAGAACGAAGTGGCTAG